GCCAATTTATTTCTGTGTGTCTAAGTTTTAAGGAGGTGGTACAAAACAGCAGGCTAAATGGACTTTCCTAAAAGAAAATTAAGGCCATTAATCTAGTCACAGCTAAAACTTAAATACTTTGATTAACACAGTGAGAAATCCTTTTAATAAAGACTTCAAATATACCCAAGGCGATACGGAAAACACGAGGAATTTAAATCACAAATGTTCCATAAAGTTTTTGCAAAGCCTTCTTCGGTCTTTGCAGAAATCGAATACAAGCTAAATTCAGCATCCCCAAGACAATGTTAGTCAGATACTCAAGTTAAAACACGGCAAAGGCATTTGTCCATTAATCAAACGTATCTTTCCTTCTCTTCTCTTTATTGATTAATGAAAGATCCAACATGAATGAAATCACAGTACCGGCTCTATCTTTATCATATCTGTCAGTGATGGTAGTGGTGTATCTGCGGCATGGGTTTAATCTTTCCTTTGGAGGCACAGACTCTCGATCAAACAGCAAATCACACTGAGGGCACAGCAGCAGCCCCAAATCCCTGACTTCAACACTGAAAAACGAGGCAAAATATACAGATTCACATGAGATAAGTCTGCAAGCACGAGTGCATGATGGGAATATTTAGTTACTGTGAGGACACAGCAGAGACATTGCTCTGCCCTGGTCTGAATAGCAAACTTTAATCATTATGTGAATCTTGGCTGTCGAACTTGCTGGCAAAATGCCATTAAAGACATTAAAGGGAGATTCAAACAACCGAGTAAAGGGATTAGTTTCTGAAGGGTAGCCAATGACAAACTGCTCTTCATTAATGGAAATTTCTTGGGTAAATATACATTTTAGAAAAAGTGTGGCTCATTATATTGGCCTAATAGACGTGTCAGATATATATTTTTATAATTTCATCGTGACTAATGTTTTAATTTGACTGGCATTTTGACCTTTCGAGTAAAATAATTGTTCCTGTTTCATATTTCAGAGTTGATTGCTTTGCTTTAAATAGCTCGCCGTGTTCTCTTTAAAGAGACCGAATCAGTCCAATTATTTTAAAAGCATATTTCATATGGCCATCAGAGCTTACAATGTGCAGCACATCCTTGATGCATTTATTCTTTTTAAAAGTGGAATTAGAAAGAAATTAAAAGCAAAGTGTATCCGCCATCGTGGCTTTGGAAGACTGATGCCTGGGTTGTGGCAACCGCTGCGATCTGAAAATGGCTGTGAAAAGCAAATCTGCATAGGCAAACACAAGCAGAGAACATAGACACACACACTGAGTCTGTTTCTCTCTTGAACAGACAAACACGATGATTCTTATTTCTCTCACAGGGAGAAGTCCAGGTGCTGTAACCTTTTGCTGCTAGTCCTGTCAGAGTGAAAAACCCAGCTGTGTGCTGGGAATGACATACTGCAAATAGGCCTTCAGCTTCTTATTGGCATTCAGCGAGCCCAACACTTCTCTTTTTCTCTTTCTCGATCTCTGTGTCCCCGACTCTCCTCTCTCTCTCACACACACACCTACAGATCTACTTCCCCGCTTGTCATCGTGCATAATGATAAGCCCATCCAGAGCACCATCTTGTGGACATCTCTAACTCTGGTGGTTGTCTAAAACGTCCCTTTTGATTACATTCAATTAAGCAACTGACTAATCAGCTTCAATCAAACGTCTCCGGGTGCTCTTTCTTTAATGGCACAATAGGAGTACCTCAAAAAAAGCAAAAGCTTGTTTAATTTTAACTTTAACACATACCATCATTAGCACCGTCTTTCACAGGGTTCACCGAGACAGACGGAGACGAGGTCTTACATAAATAGATGGTTTTAAAGTTTTAAAGTTGCATCAAAGGGATAAGTTTTCAAGCAAGAGCAGAACTCTGCAGGACTTTTTGCATGACTAGCAGCACTAAACGTGACTAACAACACACTGTGCCATGACAAACAGAGCTCTGGTCCTCTCACCCACAGATCCAGCTACCCCCCACCAGTGCATGTAAATTTAAAAAAAAATCCAATGAGTGTACGTATGTGTGCGCTGCCATGATCTCTGTCCCCAGGGTGTGTAGCGGTGCAAACCCCACTGCCTGTGCTCTGGTGCAGCCATCTGGATCACAGTGGGAAGCACCTGCTCGCAGGCTAACACTTTAACACTGCATCTGCTATGCTCCCCTCGCCAATCATTTCCACCTGAAAACCTTTTCCTCTGTATTAGGAATAAATGTTTTCCCCCAAAAGGCATCAAGTGAATGGATTTCAGAGCAACTGTGTCCTACTTGTTAAGCTTTTCCCCAGATTTTGCTGTCACTTTAATTCAGTTGAAGAAAAAAGGGAGAAGACTTCCTGCTCATACTCAGTTTTACAAATATAATTCTTTAAAGCTGACCTTAATCAATACTTCTAGATAGAAAGTGGATCAAAATAATTTGCATAATATGAAAGGGGTCAATCATGGTGCCAATTCTTATCATTTCGTTCACTGTGACCAGTCTTGCTTTTAGGGAGGTAGCTGTATTGATCAGAGGCGCTATATCATATCAAACAACTAGCTATGAAAACAGTGAAGACTGAAGTTGCTAAAAAGACATATTTTACCCAGTAGAGACCAAACCAAGCATTAAAACCAGTGAATTGTAATGTTATTGTCATTTCCATGTGAAAACAAGAACAAGTCATTGTTCAAAACCTTGCCATATCAACTCAAGAAGTGAGGTCAGTATTTACAGCTTCTTTCTGTTGCCCCCATGTGGCCAAAAATCTCATTGCAACCTTTTCCAAATACTTCCACTCTTATCTATTCAGTTCAACTCAATTGTATTTTATTCATTTTGTTTTTTAAATCAAATCACAAAAGCACTCAAGGCACTTTATAAAACCCCTACAATATTACAATTACAAAACAACAATCACACAACCTTCTTTGGGCAAGGACATGGTGACAGTGGGAAGAAAAAACTCCTTTTTAATAGGAAGAAACCTTTGGCAGAACCAGGCTCGTGGAGGGGCAGCCATCTCCTGCACCGGCTGAGGGTTATGGAGCTACCGAACTTCATCATAGGTAGTGAAAGCCATCGCTCAGGCCAGTATTTCTATCATGTCATCTTCACCTTGAAAATCTAATCTGCCAGGTTATTTATGTCAACACAGCCAAGTGCAGATTTGTTTACCAGCCTCACTTCTGCTCTTACCTCACCCCAGATTTATTGACCAACTAACTCAGTCAGAGGTTGCCACCGAGACAAGCAATCAGCTTGGTGCTCGTACACCCGTGACCTCTGATGTCAAGTTGCTACAGCGGGATGCAGCAGCAGCATACTGATAACGGCTCTCTGCTTGCAGGTGGAGGCAAAAAATCTATAATTCATTTTCAGCTGCCCTTCTGATAGAAATGACGGCGTGAGGCCAACAAATAGAGTTTGTACATTATTAGCTGATGAAATCGCACAGACGCCAAACAACATAATGCAGTCCACAGAAACAGCAAAACCCAGCTTGATACGACTTGACAAAAATATCACTGTATTCTTTCTCTGCAGAACGTTTGTAAAATAAGTAACGGACCGGTGTGTTTGCCTTAGCGGCATGTACCAATGAGATTGCAATTGCAGCTGATTCTCTCCAGGTGTGTACCTAGGTTGCCAGTAATACCTCTTTACCTGTTCTGCCAGTTCCTAATCTAGAATCAATTTCATGTTTTTCCACCTAAAAATATCTGGTGCTGGTGCCAACACAGCATCAGAGCCACTATGGGTTTCCAGAAGTTGAGCAATAATTTCCACTCAGTAACATTAGGTTATAAATTCTAATGGCACTATAACTGGCTTCACACCAGCAACACATTAAAAAACAAACAAAACATGAAAAGCCATCTCTAGAGCAGGGGTGTCAAACTCAGTCTTATGAAGAGTGGCAGCTGAGATCACATTCAGGGTCACGCATGAAATCACTGAGACGTTTTAATATATCAAAAGCATACGTAATGTTACCATTTCATTTGTATAAATATAGTTTGGTCCATATGAAAGTCAAATCAATAGAGGTCAACAAGTTGTCATGCTAATATAAATTTAATCAAGTACTGGTAGGAGTTGGAAGTTACTGAAATACCTGCAAGCACACATGGGAATACAGTATATAAGGGGAAAATAGAGTTTGTAGTTCAAACAAACTTAAAAGTTGATATTTGGTTTGGTAACCTTTATTCTCCAACACAGCCTGAACTCTTTTAAGGCAAGCTTTTCTGTAATTTCTTGAAGTAATTTTCAGGAATAGTTCTTTGGGATTTTTGAAGGACAATCAAAATTCTTTGAATGTTGGCTGCCTTTTGTTCTGTTCTGTCAAGATGACCCCACACTGCTTCAATGATGGTGAGGTCCAAGCTCCAAAGCAAAAACTTTGAAAGACGTTCAGAAACCCTGGAGTACTGCTCAAGACCGTTTTACAAACAGTTACAAGAAAGTCTGGCTGCCTAGAACCAAAACATAAAGAAATAATCAGAAAAGTCTCCAGATTCTTCCACAGTACTGTATTTCTTAAAAGTTAATTAATTAGTTAATTAAAACTAAAGCACTATAGGGAATGCGAGTTTTGATCATGTATATCACTCTCACCTTCCAATGTGAGAATGTGTGAACAACAAAACTTTCGAATTGGATTTTTCAGTTTTTCATCTAATTTGATATAAGATATAAAAATGTTTTTCAAGGGTAGCAAAAGCACAAATATTCTTATTTTTAGGTCATTCTAAACAAATAAAAACACATAGGCCTTATTCGCACTGGAGCACTAAATTTGGCAGGTCACATTTTATATAAGAACCACTCGTACCGAAACTCAGAGGCGAGCATTTCCATCTTCACAAATAGAAGTCAGTGATCTCCTCTGTGTCTTTATTTGTGCTAAATGAGAGACACCAAAACATGTCAAAGGGGGTTGAAACCTTGAACTACAAAGAAAAACAAAAATCAAAGAGGGTAGGATGAAATTCGTGTAGTTGGGAGAATTCTTTTGAAAAGTTTATTGAAAAATGACTACAAGGCACACAAAGAGTTTTAAAGAGAATCGGTTAATGAAAAGATGAGTCATCTGACATATCAACACTTTATTTTGTTTCATTTAACTTATTGTTCGTGCCATATATAACATTACAGTTTGAATCTGCTCTAACGTAAGCATTTTCTGAGAATCAATAATGACAATAACGTGTATTCAAAGTCTAAAAGATATTAATAAAATACACAAAGGTGCATAATCTGAAAGAACGTTACAATTGACAGTGTTCAACTCTGTAATTGGATTTGATTTCTTTGTGCACATAATACGCAAAAACCTTGAGTTGCACATGAGATTTCGCTCCCATATCAATGCAGCAGGTTCTTGGCAGCTCATCTGTAGTCCTCATTTCGAAGAGAAATGACAAAATGCTGTGAGAGCATATTCAGTCCATCATCTTTGTTCGTGGTAATCACTTATTTTTATACTATTATAGCTGAGAGAAGAGTTGAGCGGCATTGTCGATATTTACAGATTCCTTCGGTGGCTCTCTGACAACCTAAGAAATTTAAAAGTATATATGTTGATATCAACAAAATTGTTTCAAAACACAGCTAAAAGAATGTTAAAAGTCCATGATTTCCTCCTTTACCTGTATTTGTTTCTTTGCTTCAGGAGCGACTGACTTTGAAAGGCTCTTAACATCCCTCTGGACTTCTGTGAAGATTTGATTTAGACTCTCCACTTTCTCCTTTTTCACTGTATTGATCTGTGATACCACAATCATGTTAGAGCAGATGCAACAAACACCACGAACAAGGGAGGATACATAGTACATGTACAAAAACAAAACCCAATAAGCCAAAGAAAACAAAACCGGGAGTAAGAGATGAAAGAGATCTTACATGTTTGAGTGTTGTGACGGGTTTCGCTTTGGTCTTGTTCTTCAAGTGCTTGTTTGCCACTTGAAAGACGTTCTTCTGTTTTTTCCCCTTTTGTTTATTCTTTGCCATTTTACCTGTGGAAAGAACGGCAGTCAGCATGGATGCATTTGTGGAAATTATTTACTTTCTCTACCATGTTCTTCCTCCAGTGATTCCCTGTGTTTGTCTGGCAGTCTCTGCGCTGATCACACACTCACAGATTCATAGATTGCTCCTGATTCTAGACGTGCCTGGAAAGCCACCTGATTAGCAACACCTCTTTTTACCCCAAAAAGCTCAGTTATGGCCATGGGCCTTAAAACAGTGGTCAGAAAGTTGTAGATGATGTCAGAAAAGGCTGTAAGTCAAATGAAAATGCACTAATTCAGTCATGTTTTACAGTGTTATAACTTTTTATATTAACATTTTCCTGCACAACCTGCTCAAAACAAAAAAAGCCCTCTCAGTACACAGAGGGCTGATGTTGGAGTTTGATTTATAAACTACATAAATTCACAAATTCTTCCTGCCCAGTGAAGGTGACACACACAACTGCAGATTCTGCAAGAGGCGTAATAAGCAATAAACACGGCACAACTGAAATCTGCAAAAGGTAAAGACAACAGCAAAAGTATAACCTCCAGGGGGAAAAATATATTGCTTTGTCATTTACATTTTTTTTTCTTTTTTAACCTTATTTGGGGACAATGATTTCACCCAATTTAAACTGGTGAGTCTGTACATGCAGATTTCATGGTCTGGTGAAAACTGGAATCAAAGTGGATAAGGAGTCATAATGTGGCTGAAGAGCTGGCTGGAAAAAAAACAAGCATATTTGTAGCTAAAGGCCTTTGCTGATATTATTATATTGCATATTATATGTGTTTTATTTATTTGTTTTCTTGTTTGTTTTTCTTTTCTGGTAGCATATTTAGCCTTCATTTTTGACAGGACAGTAGAGTAGGGCGGTGGTATCGACTTGATCATAGTAGCCCCCACATAGGGCCCCCACAGTAGCATTTCAGCATTTGTATCACCTGCTCAAACCATCTCTTCATATATTCAGACTCTGGGAGGCAGCCAGAATACCTGAAGTAAACCTGCAGGCACATGCTAAGGAGAGGGGAACCAGCTTTATGCTGTGAGGCTACAGAGCTAACCACTACATTACCCAGTCGCTCCAACCTCATCCTTTTTATTGCCTGCACTTCTGGATGGATATACAGCTTATCTGGGTTTGAGTCACGGGGGCAGCAATCTGAGCAGAGAAGCCCAAGCCACCTCTTCCAGCTCATTCTAGGGGGACACCTAGTCCCTCCCAAACCAGGTGACAGCTACAGCCTCCACAGTGAGTCCTGGGTCTTCCCCATGTCCAAAACATCTCGCCTAGGAGGCATTCAGGAGGTATCCAAGTCAGATGCCGGAATCACTTTAATCAACCTATTATCTGGGTCTCTGGTGGAAATATGGAACTTTTCATGCTGTAAGTATGTAAAATCTTTATCTTGTGTACATGGGCACAAACTAGCATGTCTGAGACCAGCCAGGGAAAAAACAAAGATCTTGCTCAGGAACATAAAAACGCTTCCATTTAGCTGGGCTCGGGACTGGTACTGGGAGTGCACTAGTCTGTGACCTGTGGTAACGTTATAGGAATTTCCAAAGAAACTGTAAAGCTTAAAGACTAAAATTTATCATCAGTGTGTTGCATTTACACGGAAGGACAGCAAATAGACAACGTGAGAGGGAGACGTAAATACCTGATACACATACAGCAGTGCATAGAAAAGAGTTAAGACAAACAGCCAAGAAGAACACCATCAGAAATATAATAATAATAATAATAATGATAATATGTATTACGGTCTTTAACGACATGTAATTATATTTCAGGCAAACTGAAATGCAGTGCAGTTACCAGCTAGTTAGCTGAGTGTCTCACATGTTAGCCTGTGCTATAGTACACATAACGACGATGAAACTAAGCGACTTATTTTACGTTATTTATGTTGGTATAACAGTTCGTAAGTGTACGGCTGTAAGACTTACCGAACTTCCTCGAAGAGTGGCGTTAAAATCCTCGTGCTACTTGAAAACACCACCGTGCCTTCTAAGTGACGTCATTTGCCTGCGACAGAAACGTAACGTTAACGCCCCAGTCACCTGTTTCGAGAGAGTAGCTGACTTTCTTTCTAGGACAAATGAGATAAACGATTATTTAATTTCTTTGTATTGTACTGTGAATTAGATAACTAATTCACAGAAACTAAACTTATATATTTAGGCTATTTTTAAAATCGTTAGAACAGTTTTAAAGTTCTTTGGGGATACAATACGGTTTGGGGCACCTTTTCAAATCTCGTGATAATTTAAAATACATTAAAGTTGAATTAGAACTCATTTAGTTCTCGATGAGTGAGTCTGTTTACCCTCATATTGTACGTCGGGACTAAAAAAAAAATCACGACAGGGTTTTTTACCTCATGCGTTGTAGTCTCAATGAAAAGCAGGTGGCAGCATACTATCATCTCACACCACCATAACTTGTTTTTGCCTGAGATGCATTTCTTCTTTTTTGCTCGCTTTTAGGAACTCCACAGCAGAATATCGGCATCTCCCGTCACACCAACCCACTGCATGTTCTACATGTCTTCTCTAAGATCTTCCTCTTTTCCTTCTGCTGGTAGCTGCATCTTCAACATTTTTTATTCAATATATCCATATTCTGATTTTAAAAAAAAAACAAAAAAAACAAAAACATCCCAGCCTTGCCTTTTTTTTTTTACCTAATCTGTCCCTCTGATATACTCATTTCCCATTCTGGTCATGCCCAATGAAACTTTTAACATTTTAATTTCCGCCTCCTGTCTTTTTGTTAGTCCCGCTATCTCCAAACCATACATCATAGCAGGTCTCACTACCATCTTGAAAATCTTCCCTTCACTCTTGGTGCTATACTGCTGTCACAAATCACCCCTGACCCTCGTCTCCAACCGCTTCATCCCGCCTGCACTCCCTTCTTCACGTCTCTTGTGCAGTGACGATTTTTTATTTTGGTTTGTGCAGTCTATTATTATGTCCTCTTGCACAGTCGCGTTTTCGTTTTTTCCTTTGGACCAATTCATACGCACCTGTTCATTATCGGTGAATGCTGCCTCATTTGACTTTGATTTGTTTGGCTAAATATTTATATGTATTATAGTCTGAAATAATAATAGAGCAAACTGGCCTTTAGTTTCTGTTTTGCGCCTTGATGAACTGCGCATATCAGATATATGTCCTATCATTTCTTGCTCCTGAGGCAGAAGGAGCGAGATAATCAGTGAAGCAGAGGTTAAGCCAGTCGCCCCAACCACTGAGCAAACTCATCAGTTCGTTTTAAAGCTTCACGGATCAGG